CTCATCTCCAAATGGTCCAAGAACTTCAGCAGATGATATGATACCCTAAATCTGGTAGTGGAACAATTAAGGGATATACTTGATCTCATTGGTATAGGAAGAGCTTTTTTGAAAGGAATCTGGTAGAGCTGGTGTTAAGACTAGCAATTAATAAATGGGACCTCAAGAAATTAAAATGCTTCTGTACAACTAAAGACATCATCATTTTAATGAAGGGACAGTCTACAAAACTGAAAAAGTCTACCATGTACACATCTGACAATTGGTCATTATCTAGAATATACAAAGAACTAACAAGTGAAATCATCCAAAAGGAGAATAAGACAAATATGGGTGGGGGTGTGATGAAAGGGGAACACTTATTCACTACTGGTGAGTGTGCAAACTGGCATGCCCACATGGAAATCAGTATGGGGGCTAAAAATTTTTAAATAGCGTATGCAGCATGATCTGGCTATCCTCTCCTGGTTATACACCCAAAGGACTCTACATCCTACTATAAGGATACCTGATCACCCATAGTCATTGTGGAACTATTCCTACAGCAGTAGTTATATTACCGAATAATAAAATTCAGCTAAAGGGACACATGAACATATGCTCAAAGTTTCCCACAGCCAGGTCTCTGATGGAAAAATACTTTCCTGGTTAAAGTTTTGGATTTCAAATAAGTAGTAGCCTATGAAAATTTATCAGAAATTTCTTTAAAATATTTTATAAAATACTGTAAAAGTGAGTGGATATATTACATATATCATTTATATTATACATTTATTATGTATATGGAGGTGAATGAGAGATATGTGTTCTTTTAAATCACCAAGTGAGGATATAATGTATTCTTATACATTATAGTTGACAGTGTATGTCAACTATTATTAGTATATTTACTTGGCAGTTTTAAAACATAAACTGTTTTTTTTAAACAAATGAATGGGCAGTCTGATACTAAACCATCTTTTACATGATAAATTGTCTTTTACTACATCTATTACATTTCAATTAATATCCATTATGTTATGTGTAATAGGGAATAAAATTGAATTATGGAAGAAAAAGACTCATATTCTTTATTAGTATAATCTTCAATAATAACAATAACAATAATGATAATGATGATGATAGGATAAAGCAATAGATAACTTAAAATAAATCAGCATGATAGAATATAACAGCAACCAAATACATGCAATAACTGTGGTGTCTGGGAAGAAAGGGTAACTGCAGCTGAACTGATAACCTTTCAGTGTTTCTGGAGGTTTAAGTGAGTTCCCTCAGGGGAACTTCTGAGGCCATGATGATCTTTTAGCATATTGGGATGCAGATCTCTGGAATTATACTGACACAGTGTCTGTTTTAAATACTTACATGTCATCAGATCTTTGATCCTTGCAATTGTCTCTCTCCTATATTTTGTCACAGTCTATCCAAGTTAATGAAACTATCAGTTTAGTTGTATGATATCTATGTCTACCAAGAAAAAACTGGCGACAACAGCTTGAGCTCGTACCCAGCAACGATTCTAGGCAAAGTAATAAATGTGGGCTCATTCTTTACATTTGTTTACTTGTTTATTTATGTGGTGTACGTGTGTGTGTGTGTGTGTGTGTGTGTGCATGTGTATGTGTGCACACTCACATGCATGCCATAAAGCATCTGTGGAGGCCAGAAGACAACCTATGAGAGCCAATTTTCTCTTTCTACTATGTGAGTTCTGAGGTAATTATATTCAAGCCTCAATTCTTTTTTTTTTATTGATTGTTGTTGAGCTCTACATTTTTCTCTGCTTCCCTAGCTGCCTTTCCCCTCCCCTTCAACCCTCTACCAAGTTTGCCATGCTCCCAATTTACTGAGGTCTTGTCTTTTTCTATTACCCATGTAGATTAGATCTATGTATGTTTTTCTTAGGGTCCGCATTGCTGTCTAGGTTCTCTGAACCTTATAGAAAAGAAACTGGGAAGTACATTTGAATGCATTGGTACAGGAGACTACTTCCTAAATATAACCCCAGTAGCACAGACACTGAGAGATACAATTAATAAATGCAACCTCCTGAAACTAAATAAAAAGCTTCTGTAAAGCAAAGAACACAGTCAACAAGACAAAACAACAGTCTACAGAATGGGAAAAGATCTTCACTAACCCCACATGAGACAGAGGTCTGATCTCCAAATATACAGAGAACTCAAGAAATTGGTCATCAAAAGAACAAATAATCCAATAAAAATGGAGTACAGACCTAAAGAAAGAACTCTCAACAGAGGGATCTAAAATGGCTGAAAGACACTTAAGGAAATGTCAAGCCTCAGTTCTTTTTTCTTAATTATTTTATTTATTTATTAAAGATTTCTGTCTCTTTCCCACCGCCGCCTCCCATTTCCCTCCCCCTCCCCCAGTCCAGTCCCCCTCCCTCGTCAGCCCAAAGCCTCAGTTCTTAAGCCTTGGCAACAAGCTTTACCAGCAGAGACATTTCACCAACCAGGGGCTAAGTTTTCATTTAAAAAAGTGACATACTCATTGCATTTTGTGTATTTATGAATAGACTTCAATTTTGCAAACATTTATATAAGGTCTCACATGTGTAATCTGCTGTGAAAGAAACCAAAAAGTAACAGAGCAGTAGGAACTGAGATTACAATCTACAAGTCAAAACTATGCGTCACATAAGGTCAAATTTGGCCCAATAGATGTTATTAAGTTATTCTAATGAGTGATATTTCCTGATCTAGTTGTGGTTATGTGAAAGCCTTATGAGGAAGCAGTCACAGTTTGGTCAGACCCTGAAATGTTAGACTAATATGGAGTATTAATGGTATGGGTGTGTCAAGGCAGGACAGGGATTCTCTGTGTAGAGGATTTTTAAGGGTAAGCAAGCACGTAAGACAGTAAGGTAGGTCCAGACGAATCTCAACGATGCATTTTGGAAATGACAAAATTTCCATTTGTAGAACTGTGAAAAAGACCTAAGAGTTAGAGAAGGTTTCATTGGAAAGGACTTCAACTCACATCAGTGTGAAAAATGCTTGGTAAAGAAAAATTTAGACATGCTCACATCAGCATATAGAATAAATCTATACAAGATACATAAGAAAATAAATATGAGATATTAATAAGGTATGTGCATACCATCTTATAGTTATGAAAATACTTTAAAAATATTAAAAAGGGTTTGAATTCACCCATTTTGTCATCAACAATTACTTAACTGCATCACTTCTGAAAGAAGAGAGTATTTGCAGGTTGTAGAATAGAAAAACTACAGTTTTACATGAACAGAGGTAAGATTTTTAGAGTGTCTCTGCTACATTAATAGAAATATCTATAGCATTTAAAGGATGATAGAAAAAAGACAAGGTGGAACTGTAGATGCATAGCTCGGGAGACATGAAAAAGTATAATGCATGAAAGGCCAACAGAAAATGTCAGGAGCCATTTTCCCAAAGACGATAACAGGGACCATTGTCCTAAGGATGTTTGCAGAAAGCCCCACTACCTTGAGAGCTGTTTGCTAACAGAACCTGCCTCACACCCCAACTATCTTGATAGCAGGGACCGTTGTCCTAAGAATGTTTGCAAAGAGCCCCCACATCCCAACTACCTTGAGAGCTGTTTGTTAAGCAGAGCCACAAAAAGAATGTTTCTGCTTACCAGGTGTGCTCACTTTTGCTGCCCCGGCAAAGCCTCCCACCCCAACCCAGGTTCCTCATCCAGGGGCTATATAAGCTGCTGCCATTACGCTAATAAATGGAGGCTTTGACAAGAGAATTTTGCTTGGCCTCGTTCCTCTCTCTCGCCCATGTTCTTTCAGGTAGCACCCCTTCAGACCCTGGAATAACTGGACCTGCTGGGCGGGTACAAGGAAAATTGTTACAGACACACACACACACACACACACACACACACACACACGCTTGTACATTTGTTTATTTATGTTCTAATTTTCACATGCTGCTCCAAACATACTTTGTATTATTGTATCATAAAGTGTTATCGTTATTTAATCTTTGATAATAGGCACTTGAAGCTTCCTTTTTTTTCAAATATATATTCCAATAATGGTGTTACTTGAAGCTTTAGCTTAATAGTGTCAATTTACCTAAACTAAGAACAATTGGTACTCTTTCCTCCCCATTGTGCGCTCTTTGCTGAGCATTTCTCTCAACTTGTCCAGTTTACTGTTGGGTTTTGAACTACATAAGCTCTCAAGAGTGAGACCATCAGATAATACAAAGCAGCACTGAAAATGGCTTTAGAAGGCACCATAGACTATGGAGCCTGGACTCTGTTCACTCATCTGATTACTCCAAGCTCAGAGCTTCACCTTACTGTTGTTCCCTGGTGTTATAAGTATCACATTGAACTCTCCTTTCTGTTTATTTCTCTTGTAATTTTTAGGTTGAGTTTCTCTAAGAAGTGAAATTGACTTTTTTTTTTTTTTTTGTTTTGGTTTTCTCTTTAACTTTGGAGCTCGTCCTGGAACTAGTTCATGTAGTCCAGGCTGGACTTGAACTCACAGAGATCCGCATGCCTCTGCGTCCTGAGTACATTTAAAGAAGTGAAATAAAGACATGTTGATGACTAGCCTTATATTACAGTTCTGCTGTCCAATGAAATAAAAGCCTGCTTCCTCACAGTTGAATTTGGTGTTTCTTCAAACTACACAGTATTGGTATAAAGGAAATAATATTCAATTATGATTTGCAGAAGTACCATTTTTAACAGTTAATACACTTACGAAGCCACACTGAAAAAACTTCAACACTGGGTTCAATTTTCTCTGATGTAATTATTCTCATATGTAATAACATTTGTTAGAAAGTATTCTTGTGTTCTTGAAGACTTTCAATTTTTAAAGAAGATTTTAGACACTTGTCCTTTTGTTAATTAAAGTATTACATGAATTACAATAGTAAAATTTTATGGACAATGAACTACTGTCACATTGAACTTTGACTGTTTTGTGATTATCTATCCAAACACAACAGATAATTGTAACAAGTCTAAAAAGTTCTCTGTAATAATTTGGCCAATGATTCTGTGACTTGCTTATTTCTGAAACTGTAAATTACTGGATTTAACACAGGAATTATGACTGTGTAAAATAGAGAGTCTATCATATCTTTATCATCTACTTGTGGAGATGCAGGGTGCACATACATGAAGAGAAGAGGACCATAGTATAAAGACACAGATAAGAGGTGGGCTCCGCAGGTGGAGAAGGCTTTCTTTATGCCTGTATCAGATTTCTTTTTTATGATTGTAAACAGAATAATAGTGTAAGAAACAAGGATTGTTGAAATAGTGAAAACTTGAATTGATCCAGAGAAAATAAAAACAATTAGATAATTAAGAGAAGTGTCAGTACAGGAAATTTTTAACAGTGATATAATGTCACAATAAAAATGGTGTATCACGTTGGAATTACAGAAGGTTAATCTCAATAAAAATCCTTCATGAATTAAAGCATGAATAATTCCACCTACAAAACACAATACTATCAGACATACACACAGATTATTAGTCATAACTACTGGGTAAAGTAAAGGTTTGCATATGGCTACATAGCGATCATAGGCCATTGCTGCCAAGAGGAAACATTCTGTAGTTGCACTGATATTAAATGAAAAAAATTGTAGCATACATTCAGATAGAGAGATCAGCTTGCTTTTAGCAAAGACGTTAAGCAGCATCTTCGGAACCACTATGGAGGATATAGATGCATCTACAAAAGCTAAACTTCCAAGGAACAGGTACATGGGGATGTGAAGATGAGGGTCAATCCAGATGAGAGTGATCAAACTGACATTTCCCACAATGGTGATGAGATAGATCACCAAGAAGACCAGGAACAGAGGGACTTTCCACAGCGGCTGGGGAATGAGTCCTGTAAGAACAAATTCTGTCAAGACTGTTGTGTTCTCCTTTTCCATGTCTTCACTGGATGGCTCTGAAATGAAAGGTAGTGAATGTACAAGAGCATTTGCTAGAACTTATCAATTGAAAACTGGACAATGGGGATGTTCTATCGGGAACTCACCAAGGCCAGCTGGCCTGGGTCTGAAAAAGCCTGGGTTAAAACCGGTCTCACTGAACATAGCGGACAATGAGGGCTACTGAGACCTCAAGAACAATGGCAATGGGTTTTTGATCCTACTGCACGTATTGGCTTTGTGGGAGCCTAGGCAGTTTGGATGCTCACCTTACTAGACCTGGATGGAGGAGGGTGGTCCTTGGACTTCCCACAGGGCAGAGAACCCTGATTGCTCTTTGGGCTGATGAGGGAGGGGGACTTGATTGGTGGGGAAGAGACAGAAATCTTTAATTAAAAAAAAAGAAAACTGGAGATGTGGACTTGAAACGAATGCAAACTTCTATCGGAAGGTCCTTTAAATTTTATTTATCATTATATAATAAATTGTTTAGATTACTGTAAAACACCTATTTAATTTTTAAAAGCATGAGTTGAATACTCATGGTAAGTTGTTTTAAAGACTTTAACATATTTTTAGTTTTGTGTGTGTGTGTGTGTATGTGTGTGTGTGTGTGTGTACATGTGTGCAAACCTGAATGGGTGTAGGTATTCATGGAGTCAGAAGTAAGTGTAGTATCCTTGAAGCTGGAGTCACAGGCATTTATAAGTCTGTAAATTGTACAAGATGAACTGAGCTCCAGTCCTCGACACCAGCAATAAAGCAGTTAATCTCTGGGCCATGTCTCAGGCACTGGATAGCAAGGATGTTGAACAAGTGGAACACACTGAGCATTTTTTACTCACTCAAATGTTACCATATGGAAGAGCATTAGAACAATTTAAAAATATTTTTAAAATTAAATATGTAGTAGTGGAGAAAATAGGTTACTGGGAAGGGAAAGTAGTGGGAAATATTAATTATAACACCATTGTTCTTGTTCTGAGGCTTCTAAACTACATCATATATCTGAATTACTTGGGGACATTGTGCAAAATTGTTGATGTATTTCCATAGAAACAGAAAGAGCAATTTTAAAATGATGTTTAAAAGCTTGCATTCTAGTCAAATGTCAGTAGCACACACTTTTAATCCCAGAATTCAAGTAAAGGCAGATGGATCTCTATAAGTTCAAGGCTAGCCTGGTCTACAGAGCAATTTCCAGGACAGACTCCAAAGATACACAGATGAACCTTATATAAAAAAAATCAATAACAACAGAAAAGGTCTGCATTCTAAAAATTTCTGGGTAATACATATATGTGTGAAGTGATATGACCCTGAGAATGGTGAAGCAGTGACAAGGTCTACTTTTAAAAAACTGGTAAATTAGAATGTACAGTGACACCTGACACCTATGTTATGGGCAGGGGTATCATGTGGTGCCTGTATGCATGGATATTTAAAGTTGAGAATCAGAATGAAGCTCAGTAGCAAAGTTGTAAAAAGTCCATCCTCTGATCACGCAGGTGACAAGGGCTCATCAGGATGAGTGAGCAATAGTGAATAGGGACAATGCCGATGGGAGTAACTAATAGTGAGTTTATGTGTTTCTTGGCATGGCGGAGTACACAAAGAGAAGGAAATGGAGGCATGGGAATAAATTCAAGTAGCTTATATTAGTTATAATTGAGGTAGATTCCATTTTTGACAGCCATCTGATTCCTGTTACATCAGGCAGAAGTTGTCCACCACTGTTGAAACCAAAGCACTTGAAAATAACCTTTGCATCTTGATAGAAAATACAGCAGAACTGGGACAAACTGTAAATTCACCTGCCTAGATTTGGTTTAGAATAGGAAATGGGTGAGACACCCAGATACAAAGCATAGTTTTAGTCATGAAGGCATCACCACCTGGACTCCAGCCTTGCAGTGCATGCTTTGAGTTGACACACAGGGCACAAGACCTAGCTTCACTTACAGCTTCAGGGAGCTGTTTACTAGCTCCTAATTCTAGCTATTTACTGATTACCTGGCTACCTGCTGTTACTGGTCCTTTTTCTTGATGAATAGTCAAATTCTCCTAATTTTCTTTAGAGTCAAATATCTACCTCATAATGTACTTTTTTTTCCTTTGTCACCAAAGGCACAGTTAACTCCATTGAAGATCAAAAAAGACAAGAAAAGCTGGAAAATGGTAGCACATTCTTGTAATCCCCAGTGCTTTAGAGCCTGAGGCAGGAGATTAATTCTTTGGCCATAGAGCGAGAACCTGACTCAAAATAAATACAAAACAACAACAACAACAACAGAATTAAGTTTAACTAGATAACCGATAGCCATGGTTCTTAAAATGGGACAGACATGAATAATGAAAACATGAAGCAAAATGCCAACAGTTAAATTTAAAACACTGGTAGGAAAAGTGAAGGAAATCTTTGATTGCTGAAATTAGGAAACGGGATCTTTGTTGAGAACGGTTTCTCTATGTTACAGAGGGGTGTCCAGCAGAATCCCCAAGGCAAAGGAAGATACTTTGGGGAAACCAAAAAAACGGAGACAGTCGCCATTTGTCTAGTGCTCTAAACCTAACATAAATTTTACCTATCGAATATTTATTCATGTTTTAAATAAAAGGATAAATTCATCAAGGACATAACAAGAAAGCATGAAGAGAGCAAAAAGTACAGGAAAGGGTATTTGGGTTAGTGAAATTGGAACAAAGGGGAGGAAGAGAAATAGCAGAAGAGGGACATTTCACAAAATAGTGAAAAGAGCTGCCAGAGGAAGACTGGAAATGAAGGAGGCAAGTCTCAGAGGCACAACAGAAAGGCTGTTCTCACAGCAGCTCTTCCCTAGACCATCCTGAGAATTTTTATTTTCCTTTTCTATAAGCGAAAATTCAATTTCCTAGAGAATCTGTGTTTGCATAAAACATTGATTTTACAAGTTTCTTGTTGACAATGTACATGTCATCGCTGCCTGACATTTCTTTAAATATTTCCATCTTTTGCTATGTCATCAATTCAAACTAAATTTCTCTAGAAATCTTTCTGATTTTATCTTCAGTTTCATTATTTTTTCCTAGCAAGGTAAAATTTAATGTTTTATAAAATGAAAGAATTAGAAATTCTCAAATAAATTTACATTTAAATTGTATGTATGGGGAAAGGTAAGAATGTCATGGAGTACAGTTCTCTGCATATTTCCTGTCTATTTATATGTAGGTTGTATGTTTGTGTAAAGCAAAGAAATATACAGATATATCAGTTTATAAAACTTCATGAAATGTGGTGTCTACAGGGAGAGAAATATATATGTTTATATATCCTATTTCTATTTCTGTATATGTGTATATGCTCTTTAATAAATTATTAGAAAAGATGTCAGTATAGAGGAGTGAGGAAATGTTTTCAATAGTCACTTTTCCTGCAACTGTCATAAAAGTTTGCTATATAAGAGCAACTTAATATTTCATCTGATCATAACTAAATGTAATAGCTGATTAGGTAATAAAAATTTCTAACCATGAGAATTCAGGTTAAATATTTTGCTTATTAATATTTAGTCACAAAATAAAATATATAGAAAATCCTTTATTGCTCTTTTCTTCTATACTGATCTAGAATCTGAAAAGGTAAATATAAAATTATTATATATTTAAGAGCATTTTTAGCTCTTCATGCAGGAAGGAATCTTACAGAAATCATCTCTCTCTTACCTATATCCAGGAAGATGTTTCAGGGATCTTTAACAAATGTTTGGATTTCTAAAGCAGAGAAAATCTCAGTCTGTCAGGAAGTCAGTAACATAGGGAGCAATTCTTAGCACAGTGGCTCATAGTGGAGTTCATCCTATAAACACAGAAAATTTTTAGGCAATTTTGTTTTCAACTCACATGTCAACCAGATTTAAACCTGTGTGCTTTTGCCAAAAGAAGAAGAAATGAAGAGCTGAAATTCCCATTATGAGTTCAAACATTCCCCATGGAGAAAGTGTAGCTGCTGTGCTGGGCACCTTGGGCTTGACCTATGACGAGTCCAAATGATCCCATGGGTACACTGCTGATATTTACATTATGATTATCTCCTCAGAGTGTCCAAATATAGCGTTGGATACAGAAATTGCACAATATTTCACCATTTCTTATATCAGTTGACATTTCTGACAGATTAGGCAACTTTTATTTAAATTAATTTTTAAGGTTTGTCTACAACGTTTCATCATGTTGTTCTCATATGTTATTTTACTTTGTTTGTATCCATTCCTTGCCCACTGTCCTCCATATTCCACCTCTTTCTTCCAGGTGGTGTTCTTTCTTTTTCTAGTTACTCTGTGCTTTAGCCTTCCTATGATATCTATTCTATTTACCTTTTATTTCCGACTTTGCTTTAGATCTCTTCCTTTTTTTCTAATAATCCTTATTTATTTTCATGACCTACAAACTCACACACAATACAATACAAACATACACACAAATACACTTAAATTTAAGTTCTGTATGTGAGAGGTAAATGCAGTATTTTTCTTTCTGATCCAGCTTATTTCACTCGACTAATGATTTCTAGTTCTATACATCTTTCAAATGTCACTATTTTATTTTTCTTTGTGAATAAAAATGATTTACTGCATACAAGTGTCATGTATTTGCTTGTTGATGGTCACCTAGGTTAAATTAATAGTCTGGATATTGTGAAAAGTGTAGAAACACAATAAGATGCACAAATATATCTGTGCCATAGTGATTTAGATTCCTTAGTGTATATTTCCAATCATGGTATAGCTGAATCACACAGTATTTGTCTTGTTTGAGAACACCCATATATATTTCTAGAGTGGCTTCATAAGCTTGCATTATCACAAGCAGGGATTAAGTTCTCCTATTTATGCATGTCTTCATACGGTTTAAGAAGTCATTTGGTTTCTTGGTGATAGCCATTACAACTTATGTTAAACTCACTTAATCTAAGGTAAATATGATCAGGACATCTGGGAGTAAAGAAGTAATTAAAATTAGAAATCCAC